TGTGATACATGTATGTGCCGGTCGGGAGGTTAGTGTGGGCAAGGTCTCGTATCTCACCAATAGCAGAGTGTGGATGGGGTTCCACATCTCAATAGTCGCATAACAGGTTCGAGGCCCAAGTTAGGGAAGGAGTGAGGGTGGGCTGGGCCCGTATCTCACTACCACTATGAGCGTGGACGGGGTTCCATGGCTCATCAGTAGCAGTACATGGGCGAGGTCCAGGATAGGCGAGGCCTTAGGACAGAACCAGTTGCATGTGTTTAGTTATGTGTTGTGAAATATTTATGTGCTATTATTTGTTGGTAGGAGAGGCCCTGTGACAGGCGAGGCCTAAGTAAAACAGATTTGTATCCGAGCGGGGCTTGAAGCTAGGCGGGGCCTAGAGCGGTGGGGCCGTTGTAGCGGGCGAGGCCCAAGGTAGCGGGCGTGGCCCAGTATGTGCAGTATGTGGTTATGCATTGTATGTGGTAGGGTGGGGAACTCACTAAGCTTCGTGCTTACGGTTTTCAGTTTTGGTTTCAGGTACTTCCGGTAGTGGAGGGAAGAGCTCGGGGTGATCGCATGGCACACACCATAGATTAGACAGCCTGGGAATGTTTACTCTGATAATAAACATGTGTTTTGAAAACTTATACTCATATTATGTTTTGGAATGATGATTTTATTTGAAGTAATGATTTATTTAAAGAAATTTTTGGTCTTAAATTTGGGGTCGTTACAAGTTGGTATCAGAACCTTGGTTTGAGGGATTCGGACATGCTCTCGGGTGTGTGTGAACTCAAACTGAGGAATTGGTAAAGAGGTTTTCAAAATGAAAAGACAGTTTTGTAAAAAGGGAGTTTTAAGAAAGAAAACGGATTTAGAAAAGCTAAAGAATTCAGAAAGATAAAAACTTTGAAATGAGAAAAGAGGTGTGGTGCATGCAATCAACCGAGCTCAAGTAAGTACCCCAAAATACCCATACAAGTTTATGTTTTGATTATCAGTTAATAGAACAACATGCTAGATTAGGACTAAGGATCTAGGGAGGATGCCTTATGTGCCTGTTATATGTGCTTTTGATCTGCATGATAGTGCTGAATAGTCAGTAGTAGGATAGCCTGATTAGGTTATGCCTGAGTTTATGAGTTGTGTTGCATGCTAGTTCAGATTCTTGCTATGTGGATATGATTGCTTGAGTATGTTATGGTTAGATTTTCCCTTGTCTGAATGCTGCTTGCTTTGTGCATTGTGGGATTCTGAGTGATGGGAGTTAGCGATTAGGTGGATACGTCACGTCACATGTGATCAGGGTTGAATAATCTCAGAGTGTTGGATTTGGTCCTATTGCGCAGCTCTTGTTTGAGTCCAACCGTTGTAGGAACGAGTCTTTTACTTGAAGGATTATCTGAGCCTGGTCACATGTGACGGTATCCATGTGATGGCTAGTTGGCATCACAAGGGGACCTTCAGCAGCTGAGGGTTGGTTTCAGTTGAGTCAGAGGTTTCCCTAGGGTAAGCCTAGGATGAGGTAGTGCTGGAAGCAGTAGAAGTAGAAAAGGGACCTGGTGGAGTCAAAGCAGTTCTTGAGGAAAGTACGGATAGATGTGGAAGGTAGTATGGGCCCGTACTACTGAAAGCAGAGGATCCGTACTCGATTCGGGAAAGGCCGAGACAAGACCGGGAACCTGGTAGTGAGTATATTTGGTCTCGCAGCAGTGAGGAGTATTCTAATAATGGTTATGTTATATGTTTCAGTATGGTGACATTGCAAGAGAGACCAGCGGGCGGATCAGGCGCCGGAGAGGGATTGGGCTCGGGTTTAGGGGCCGAGCAGCTCGAGGATCGGATGAGAGAGTTGATATCAGCCGAAGTTACGCGCAGTATTCTAGCTCAGACTCCTGTGATCTTTGGCACGGTCAAGGAGGGTATATTGGAGATTTTGGATGAGAGGCTGGGAGCCTTCCGTACTGAGATGATCGCTTTGTTGGGAGCGCGTACCTTGACATTTCGGGAGTTCAGGGCTTGCGGGGAACCAGATTATCATGGGGCTAGGGACCCCATCGCTAGCAGCAGATGGTTGGCTGATGTTGCCAACGCATTCCGTACGAGCCGGTGTCCTGAGGAGGACAAGGTCAGACTCGCTTCCTGTCTTCTGAAGGACAGAGCAAGGGATTGGTGGGAAGAGATTGGTCATGCTTTGGGTGATGATGCCGCGTTGGACATGATGACTTGGAGTGATTTCTCAGCTAGGTTCAGAGCGGAGTTTTCGCCGATTATTGAGGTGCAACAGTTGGCCCGGGAGTTTCAGGATTTGACGCAGACTACTGAGAGTGTGGCGGAGATCACCGCCAAGTTCAGGGAGAGAGCCCTTCTTGTTCCGCAGTATGTCGCAGATGAGGAGATGAAGAAGGCACGATATCATGAGATGCTGAGAGATGACATCAGGGAGTTCGTGAGCAGGTCCGGTTGTAAGATGCTGGAAGATATGATTTCTCGGGCCAGGGATAGGGAAATTGATTTGGAGCAGATCCGGAAGAGGAAGCCGGATGAGGTTCAGGTAGCCGCAAGTTCGGGCAAAAGGCCCAAGGGATCGGATTCAAGATCGAGGGATTATCAGGACCGCAGTCGATGCGGAAAGTGTGGCAGGACGCACGGGGGCGCGTGCAGGAGTGGTAGTGGTGGTGAGTCTGGCTGCTTCAGGTGCGGTCGGACTGGTCATTTTAGTAGAGATTGTACTGTTACCATCACCCAGGGATCAGACTTGATATGTTTTCACTGCAATCAGAGGGGCCACAAGAAGGCCTAGTACCCCAGCTTGTTTTCAGTAGGACCGGTGATGGCACCTGCCCCTGCAACTCTGAGGATCACAGACGGATGTCAGGGCCGTGTGGAGGCGCCTGCGGTAGGAGGCATGGCTTTTCAGATGGCTACCTTGGAGACGCGAGCAGCACCGGACGTTGCAGGTATGCGATTTCCGTTTTCAGTTCTTCTGTTTATGCATGATGTTATATTGTTATGGTTCTGCATCATTATTTGTATGAGCATTTCATTTGAGAGGTTTGATTGTGATCGAGTTATATGCCATTTGCATACCTTGGATACGTGGATAGTAGTTAAGAGATGAGTTTTATAGAAGAAGGTTACTTAGGGTGCAGTATTTGTAGCATGCCTTGGAGGGACTCGGTATGTCTCGCTAGTTCGAAGCCGTATAAGTTTTCGAAATGGACAGGTTAGATCCTTAGCTATGGTAAGCTTGGGATTCCTCAGCGGATTGATTATGGTAGCAAGGATTGGGATTTCTCTTCATTGAGCATCGAGGCATAAGCAGGATCGAAGTGGGGGAGAATCCTCCGAGTGTATAAAGGTAAGTGCACGTAAATCCAGATCGAGTGTGTGATTTCTGAGAAGGAAAGGAGGTAGTTCAGCATTTGACGGATTGAGTAGTTCAGGGTTGGGAGTTTGAGAAACTCCCCATCAGTCCGTGCATGTAAAGGGTAATGGTGAGTATGTGGTTCGGATTCAGGTTGAAGGGTCGCCTGTAGGACTCGTGTGAGTCGGAATGGAGATCTTGAGGTCAAACAGCAGGAGATGTTTTCGTGTTAGCAGTCAGTGGCAGAAGCAGCATGTAGAGCATGGAAGAGTGGCGGGAGAGCCTCAGCTTTCTTTAGCAGCAGTCAGTAGTGGGAAGTGTTGTCAGACTACGGGGCAGCCATAGCATTCCGTAGTAACTTCGTTGGCGGAGTCGGGGCGAGGCCCTTATCTCCTAGCATTCAGATAGCGATCGGGAACGGGTAATGGGTGAGAATGGTAAGGAGTTGCCTGTATAGTCCTTGAGAGGTGAGACCTTGGGAGAGGCTGCTCTAGGATATAGTCGGGTGAGACCCGTGGGCGAGGCCCGTATGAGAATAGCAGTATAGGAGAGACCTAAGAGCAGGGTTGCTCAGTAGTATGGTTGGGTGAGACCCGTGGGCGAGGCCCGTGAGTTTTAGCAGCACAGGTGGGACCTGGTAAGGATCTTAGTGTCTAGATAAGGGGATCGGGGATCCCAGGAAATGGTATTGCCAGCATGGTAGAATAGATTGAGCAGTATAGGTGGCGGAAGTTTCCTCGAATGTCGCTGGGAGCGACTAGTGGTTGTGTTGGGTCAGCAATCGGTGAGAGTCGGTAATCCAGATATTGATAGGTTGGTAGGGACCAGGATGGTCTCAGTTCATCCGGAAGCCAGATAAGGAATAGCTGGATTTCCAGTCAGTAGCAGTGCGAGTATGCAACGTATGGTGGAATTCAGTTAGTCGATCGTGGAGTGCTCGACACCGAATGATAGTAGAAAGAGTGCCAAGTGGATACTGGCAATGATGACCCGTACTGAGTAGCGGGAGTACTAGATTGGGGTGAAGACATGGTCTTCACAGTGGCAGAGGGGATAGGTGGTTATGGAGCGTTGCCTAGGGAAGGTAAGGAAATCGCGCAAGGAAAAAAGGGGTGAACCCCTATGTTGGAGTACTCGGAGAATGCCAGAAGGATTGTCGGTTGAGTAAGTTGTGTTTCCAGGATGTTCAGGGTCAGGATGCACCCGAGATTATTATCGGTAAGGATTGACGTTAGTCCGAATGACTGAACGGAA